GTATATTTTCTTAAGTTTTCACGGGTACTTACATGTATGGTATTAAGCTTCCATAGGTTCAAATGAAGAGGTTAACAGGCCCACATAAACAAACAAACAATGGCAGTGGGGTTATCTCAGAAGTGTTTTATTCTTACTGGAAAACAAGGCAAGATTTAAAAGACAACAATTCTATATGTTGTTTTTCTCCTAGTAGTCTTCAAGGCTGGAATTTACATGTGGATTTCCTATCAAAATATTCTTAACATATAGATTCCACTAATAATGTTGAAATGACTCCAACTTAATCTCTAATTTACATTCTTTGTTTGGCTTGCATAGGTGAAGGCACTGGTGGAATTCCTCATTAATAATTGTTCAGATATATTTGGAGAAGAAATCTACTCACTGTTGTCTAGGAATACCGATAATTCCCTGGATATGACAGGTACCCTGATTTTGCATGTCTTTCAAGATAGAGTCTGGCCAATCATTTTTCTCTCAATGTGCTTAGATTTCATTGAAAGTACTTTTTTAACAATGTTTGATTCTAGTTGTTAAGGAAGTGGCAACCAACCAGTAACAACAGTAAACCATTTCTAAATGTTAACCACAGTGTATCTTAGAGTTTCATAAGAGAGTCACCTATTATTGAGGTTCCTTTCAAACCAGGGAAGAGAAATAGAAATAATATATGTAAAGTTTTGGGAAGATTTATCAGAGAGACTGGGTCCAATTTGTGGATATCGAATTATAATATAGCATTATAGGGTATTTTTGGTAAACCAGTGACTATTGAAGTTTAATATAAACATGGTTCAATTTTCTTGTTCCTCTTTTTGTTTTGTTTTTCTTTTTTATCATTTTTATGGACTGTTCAGTTTAGCTTTATTATTTTTATGGAACTTGATCTTTTGCCTATATTTTGTACCCTTAAAATATTTTTTAAAATCCTTTTCACTATGTTGGGTAGGAAGCATTTATTCCTCAGTTGCTAGTGATGTACACGTACTTTATAGCATTTAGTGCAGACTGACATATTTCTAAGTCTGGTTCTATCCAACATTAGTCTCAACATTTCCTTTCTTTCCTCCAGAAACATCATCACCAAAACAACATCATGATTCTGCTTATGACAGCACAGACCTTGAAGGGGAATGCAGTCTCAGTGACCTTCAGCCCAGCGGTTTATCCCACACTAGCAGACCAAGCAGTACAGAATTGTACCCCAAACAGCCACGAACCCAGATCCCTTCTGCCTTCTCCCTGGCTCATTTTAAAATGATGAAGAAACTTGAGAGGAGGTCCTCAGAACCAGACTTGCAGTCTTCCAAGAATTGCCGGAAAGGCTGTGTGAAACTTCCAAAACTTTCCAAAAGTGAGGAGAATTTTATTCTGCAGAAGGAATTGGGACTGAAGGATAGAGAGCTGAGAATGAGAATGCAGACAGTTGAAGAATCCCATCCTTCCTGTCGCTACAGGAACAAAAAGCCATCAGATCTCAGAATCAAAGCCAACCTCCCCGCAGAATTATCAAGTGATTCCTTACTCAGCACATCTTCTTCCAGTTCACTAGACAGTGCTTCCTCTATCTCGGACTCTTCTGTATTCACTAGTTCACCACTCTCGTCACCTGCCATTTTCAAGAACAATGTCTTGACGCGGCCACAGTCCTTCTCTGCCAAAATTTCAAATGGAAGGGACAGAGCTGTCTCAGAGCTCAAGAAGCACTCCATGTCGTTTTCTGTGGCAACTCGCAAGAAGATGCTGGCCAAAACGGACAGTCAAAAAGGCAGTTTCAAAAAGGGTTCCAGAAAAGAAAGATCACTTTCCTGTCAAATCGTTCAAGCAGCTCATGAGGCTGTTCCCAGTCCAGAACCTTCAGGCTGTCCACTAAGACCTCGTTTTATGTCAGCAGTTGAAGTGTTTCGATTTGTAGATCAAAATAAACCTAGAAGGCCTCCTTCCTATGAAGAGGCAACCAAACACCTTTCTGCTGTTAGATTTCCATCACACAATTTGAGAGCTCATCCTCTGAGGCCCACCAAGGTTCCTCAGGATTCTGCATCTCAATGGCTGAGGCTCAAGAAAGAGATCACAAACAAAGCAAATGACAGACTCTCTTTGATGAACGACACCCAGGACAAAACACCAGTTGTGGATTTTGTTATTGGAATTCATTCACGGGCAAATTTGCCTTTGACCCCTCAAGTGTACCGTCTCAGGACCATGTCTGGGTCATATCAAAAGAACAAGCAAGAATATGTGACGCTACAGAACAATCAGATAACTTTTGAGCACTTACAACGTGCAAAAGAATCCTATGTTTAAACTTAATTGTCTCATTTCAGTACAAATGTATACATTTTATGCCAGGCATGGAAACAAGACTTTTGCCAAACATTATTGCCTAAGCAGATATAAATCCAATTTTCCATAAAATTGTATTTTGTCTAGTATCCAGTGTAATGTGTTTTGCTCTTCGGCCCATTTCGTACAAAATAATTATGTCCTAATCTGGGTTTGGCTATTCCCATGAATGTTAAAAGTACAAACCCATAGAATAGATCCAGTAGCTTTGTTCTTATAGCAAACCCCCGCATTAATGGCTTCTCCTTTTTCTGAAAGTAGTCTAGACAGGGATCCAATATAAACAGAAACAGAGAAGCAGAAGATAAGGGGAAATGCTGTAGAGATCTTGAGCCAATCTCTATCATATGACTGAGCAAAAAGTGTGCTTTGCAACAGACTTGGCTCTGCTGCTTTGTCTAGTTTTGCATTTCTCAAGTGATAGTTTTGTTCCACCACCACTTCCTATTTGGAAAGGATTTCCAACCAAACTAAACCTCAGTGTTATGAAATGGTTCTTGCAGTAGAAACAGCGAGAGTTTCTGTTTTGTTCTGTTTTGTTCACTCAGACCAGAGTGAACAAAAGAGAAATAGTCTGAATGTATAAAAAAAGCTTTTTGAAATCATTTTAGTCTTCCCCAACTTCATGCGCTTTGGATGTGTTGAAATGGCAAATCTCAGCTGTGTAGTCTGGGACTTCAGAAAGATGCTATTGTAACTCATCTGGAAAAAAATGCAAAATTAAAGAGACCTGACAGAATATCCATGCAGATCAACATTGTATAGGTTGACATTTCCCCATAATTCCAGGAGCTGAACATAACATATGTTTATTATGATTCATCAAACAACTATAAAAATTACTCATTGCATAATGCCATAATGTGGTTTATTTGTCTGACTTTGATGGAGTGTGTGAACCCAACCATTAACCAGGGATTATGGTTTAGTAGAATAGCCAAATCCAGCACTGTGGCTTATTCAAGAACAAGTGATTAAAATAAATGCTTAGTATGCTATGTGATTCCAGCCACTGACACTCTTAATATTAACTCAAAGTGTATCAAAGAAGGCCAAGGCAGTTAATATCCCAGGAATAGTCAGGTAGCTTCTTTAAAATGGTGTCTTAAAGTTTCACTCAGAACCAAACTGGTACATGGCCAGCCTGGGTATTCAGGGATGTGTCTCTGTAAAGCAAAATAGAGATAAACTGAGATATCCCTGTGATCTAACATCCCTCCATATATTTCCAGCAATGTGGTTATTTTGAAAAATCTAAATTTGGTCTTTTCCCAACAATGTCTGCATTGACTCCTAGAAAACAATTTTATACTTGCCAGAGTAGCGAATGACAAGCCAGATAAAGACCTGTTCCACCTCAAAGGTATCTAACAAACATCACTTACACGTTGCCAGAGGCTAGGTTTTACCCAACAATGGCAGAAATATTAGGAACAAAACAGGGCCTATCAAGGACCTACCTGAAGGTTGGGTGACGGTAATGGGTCTGCAACCTCCTAAGATCCTTACTTTCCTGATCCGTCCCACAAACAGCCCAGAGGTGGGCTGCACTTTCATTGACAAGGGGTTCACATCCCTTTGTTTGCGGCTGAAATGCAGCTTCAAACAGGCAGCTAATCAACTCAGGTAGCTTTGATGAGTACAGGAGGAATGGCGCAGAACTCACCTGGGCAGCCTGGGCAGGGGAAAAGTTAGTTATTTAGAGAAAGCATAGTACAGGATGGGTGGGTGAGCCCAGCCAGAGATCACAGCTAGGGGTTCTCCCGAATATCACTGACCCACCACCACAGCCCAGACACTAATGCTATGGATTCTGTTCCATCTCCCTGCCCCAGCAAGCAACTCCAGTCCTGCTTATGATGAACCATGAGGATTTTAGCTGGGGTGATTGCTTGATCACAGACCCTGTGACCATCAGATCATTTTACATACATGCTTAAGAATACAAAAGTGAATATTTTCAAAAGGAGCAAGAGGTATTCTTCTTCTTGGTCTTCCTCTTTTCAGTTGAACGATATGAGCCAATGGGCAAGCCCAGTTACAGCTTGCATAAAACTCTTGCACATCTCCCCACATTCCCAGTATCAACATTTCCACAGGGCCAGTTGTAGAAAACTCACAACGCACTTTCTGTTCAATCATCCTTGTTGATTAAACAAAAGTGAATGGTTCTCCAGTAAACGTATCTCTCCAAAGATCAGCTATATGTATGAACTTTATTGGAGTTCTTTT